TAGGTCATCCTGCAGCCACCGGCTGCCTTTGTGGCTTTTGCTGTCGGGAAACTGGAGAGAAACTACCCAGAGAGGCGTTTTAGCGGGTATAGTTCTTAAGTTTGTTTTAAGGGAGCTGGAGGCAAGAAAAAACATGTAAGTACCTGCCTGCCTGCAGGATTTGGTGTGAAGTGGCTCCTTGGAAGGATGCAGTGTGAGCTGCTTTTAGCATGGGGCTGGCGTGGGGTGGTAGGAGAGACTTGGAGACCCTGGAGACCAGGGCACGGTGGTGGGACCCTCATCCCACAGGTGGGAATGGTGGTGGTCGCTCAGGTGGGCTGGGAGCCTGGAGGGGCAGGAGGGAAGGGCAGAGTTTTGGGGCATGTCTCTGTTTCGGGGATGCTGTGCTCCCCTGGGAGTGGCTCCATCAGTGCCCGCAGGAAGGGCGATGCCAGGGTGTTCTGTCCCAGAGCGTCTCGCACCTGGGAGCTCTTCCCATCTAACCTCGGTGGCCAGGAGCCAGGCCAGCCCACAGGGCATGGCTTTGTGCCCGTGCCACGTTGTCACGTTAATTTTTATGGGCAATTAAAGTTTTTATGGAGCAGCTTTCTCACAGATGGTGGAGGCGTCCTGTGGCTTCTTGGGTTCATGTCCTCTGCCCTTTCCATCAGGACACTGGTTTCCAGACTGGGATCCTGACAGGTTGCAAGGCTGGGGGTCTGGTGGTGCAAAGTGCAGCAGCTTTGGGCATATGGAAAAGTAGCGGTGGCAGCTGGCGCGGCAGGTTCAGTCCCTGATGTCCCAGTATGGTTTCCTCTGTGCTTTATTTAGTGGTAATGTACCCCTTCGGTCTCTCTGAGACCACAGCGTGACAGGAACAAGATCAGTCTCTGTTTACCCCACACATTCAATTTAGATTACCTTCCTGACGTTATTAATGGTGGCAGAAGGGATTAAAAGTGTTATGAGCTGCAAGGAGTCGTCTTTCCTCTAAGTAACTGCCCCTTGCAGCACCTGCAGAGCCAGGCAGCCCCCTGCTCGGTGTTACTCCAGGTAGCAGCGTGGTTCCTCGGGGACACTCCTGGCTGCGTCATCCCCTCTGTAGCATCCCCAGGGCTGCTCTTTGAGCCTGGCACCTGCAGGAGACCGCTGTGCGATGGGAACTCCTCCCCAGCGTTAGCCAAAGCCTCTCAGGCAGGTTGAAAAGTGCTTCTTTGAAGTGAAGTAACTCCGATGCCTGCAGTGCTCGCGATGCAGCACTGCAGCAGGGCCCGAAGCCCAGGATGCAGGGCTCGGGCTGTGACGTGCCTGGGGAGTTGTTAGCATGGGCGTGTGTGGGAGAATAAATCTGCGGCTGCAGAGAGAGAGATGCAGATCAGAAGCTGAGGGCAGCGATCCCAAGCGAAGGTGTTGGTGGAGCTGGGGACGAGCTGTGCCCCCTTGTTTTGGTTGTCAGAGACTTTGCAGGGGTGGCTGGGGTCTGTGCAGGGGGAGGACAGCGCTTTGCTGGACCGTATGGCATCTTGGCCAGAGCGCGTCATACGAGCGGGACGCAGCCCGGGTGCGATGGGGAGCTCTCAGGTGTGCCCTCAGCTCTGGCAGCTGGGCTCCTACCTGCTCCTCGCTGCATTTCTTGCCGCTGCCGGGGAGGAGAGGAGCGGGAGAGCCGCGCTCTGCAGTGTGAAGGTCATCCGTCAGCTACAGCGGGAGGCGAAGCTGGCTCCGGAGGTCGGCACAGGCGCTGCGAGAGAGCCCTTGGCTGCGGGGGGACGGGCGGAGTGGCAGGCGTCCAGGGCAGCGATGCTAATTAGCGCTCCAGCTCCCTGCTTGAAGAACAGAGAGCTCTGCTTGGCTTTGGGCTCTTCCCTCCCCCTCGCTTTAAGGTTTAGCAGAAGGCTCTGTGGATAATGTGCGGCTCAGGGCTTTCATTTGCATACTTTATTCGTGGCGATATGATGGTTCCCTTTGAACCCGCGCTGTCTCTGTGAGCACCATCCAGCCGCTGCTCTTCCTCTGGGAGCAGATCCCATCTCTGTCCCAATGTCCAGGGACCAGGCGTGTTGGCCTCTGTCGTGCCAAAGGGGTAACAACCCAAGGTCGGGCTGCAGGGGGGTAAAGAGGTCCCCCCATGCACCCTTCTCCCCACCCCAAAGCGCCATGTCCTCACTCTCTCCTCCCCTCTCCCTGCCAGGTCTGCACGTCCTCACCATCGCCTTTGCCTTGGAGGTGTCGGTGGGGAAGACCAACACTGTGATGGCTCTGAATAACTCCGACGTGCTGCTGCCCTGCACCTTCACCACCTGCATTGGCTTTCAGGACCTGGCCTTCACCTGGTACTTCAACTCGACGGAGATGGTGGGTTCCTGGCAGCTCCTTTTGTACTTTCCTGGTGCAGACTGGCTCTGCAAGGAGTTCCCTTTCTCCATGCCCATCCCTCCAAATGTCTCCAGCTCTGGAGGGATGGGGCTGTGCAAAGAGGGTGACTCAAATACCCCATCACATCTGTGCTTTCTGCACAGAGCTGCTCTGGGTTTTCTGCTGCCCACAAGCTCAGTTTCTTTTCACAAATTGCTCATAAATTGGCTGCTCAGGTGCCAGGCTGCACTTAGGGCAGAATTTAGTTGATTTTCTCCTCCTGCACTTGCTCTGAAGTATTAAAGGTATAGATTTGCTTCCTGCTGGGGATGTTCTGCTCTTCAGCTCCGTAGCAGGACGGTCGGTTTGTAGTTATTTGAAGCCATTTCTGCTTCAACGGGGTGCGCCGGGATGCCGGGCTGTCCTATCTGTGTGTGCAGAGGTGGGACAGGGCACCAGCACGAGAGCCTTTCCCTCACCTGGGGACCCCGGCTGACCCCGCATCCCTGATTTACCACGCAGATTTACCACGGCAAGATAAAGAGCAAAGCCTCGGAGCCCTACCTGGTGGGACGCAACCCACGGGTGGAGTTCGTCGGCTCCACCACCGGCAAGGACAACAACATCTCCATCGTCCTGAAGAACGTGGAGTTCAGCGACGCCGGGAAATACACCTGCCACGTGCGGAACCCCAAGGAGAAGGACGCGCAGCACAACGCCACCATCGTCCTCACCGTGGTCCAGAAGAGTAA